TGCCCTGTCTTCAGGCGAAGTCTAAAGACGTTTCTCATCCTAAGGAGGCGAAGGCCTCCAGCCAATCAGCATCCAGTGAACATCCCAGTTCTCAGTCTCTGCAGACAACAAACCCAAACTTCAGACACAAGAGAATCCAGGAGCACGAGAAGGAGAGGAAGGAGCTCCTCTCCAGACCTCCCCTTCAGGTACTCCCCCGCAGATCAAGCACTCGCTAAACCCGAGCAGGTCGCTTCATTCTGCCGTGTCACTCAGACATCAGAGAGCAGAGGAGAGGAAGTGGATCCTCCTCCTGCCAGGAGCGTCTCAGAGGAGCCTGCTGATCCGTCCAGCAGAGAGGAGGTTCTGCCGGTGGAGCAGCCCTTCATCAAGCTGAGTCAGGAGGAGTACGGAGAACACCACTCCTCCATCATGCACTGCAGGTTTGGACTGAGCCCTGATCAGCCCCACCCATCACCGCCGCCTCCTTTCTCACCTTTCTCCCTCTGCTGACCTGCAGGGTGGACAGTTCTGGTCGCCGGGTGGCCAGTCTGGATGTGGACGGCGTCGTCAAGGTCGGATTATTTTACCTTCCATTGTGGTAAAATGATGTTTTGGTCAAGGAGGCTTTAAAAGCTTTCCTCCTGCCTCCTCAGGTGTGGTCCTTCAACCCCATGATGCAGACCAAAGCCACCATCATGTCCAAGTCTCCTCTGCTGTGCCTGGAGTGGGCGACCAAACCAGACCGACTGGTAAAACCTTCCGGTTGGCCAAACTCTGCCTAGAGCCAAAGTCTTCATCAGGCCTTCTCTCCGTCTCAGAGAGCGCCTCAAACGCCTGAATGGAGGCGTTTCTGTCTGCAGGATGCATGAAGACTTTAGCTCTGGACAGCAGCTAGCACTGATTAGCATGTAGCATGCCTGTTGTTCTGAATGCTTTTGTCTCTGGCTAGTTGTTGCTAGGCAGCGGTGTCGGAACGGTGCGACTCTATGATACAGAAGCCAAGAAGAATCTCTATGAGATGAACATCAATGAAACTCATCCCAGGTGAACCCGCCTCTCTGGACTCATCAGCGATGATGATAAAATCTAACCTCTCAATATCTGGATCAGAGCTACGCAGAGCAGAAATCCCAGCGGTGATTAGATCAGATTGGGACAGAGATGCAGGGATGTCTGATAAAACATCGTCTGACGGTACGAACAGGTAGATGAAGGATGCTGCAGGGAAACCTCCAGCAGGTGGAGACGGTTTTGCGCCTCAGAGGGCCGATTAGCTTAATCAGCAGCTTTAGGCTTTGATGAGTCACATGCCTGAAAGAATCAGGATAACATGGCAGAAAGTTAGCTGCTAGCTAGCTGCTCCGCTGTTAGACAGTAAAGATGTGCGACTGTTTCTGCAGTAAGACCTGACTTGGTTTCGCAGTCAAATTTAGGTCAGAGCCTTGACTGGAGCACTAAACTTATGGCTGAGAGCAGCTAGCAGACCTATTAGCTGCTACATGCTAACAGTGTGAAGAAGCCATTTTCCCTCAGAGCTTCTGAAAGTTTAAATGACAGGAAGTGAGGCTTTAATCCACTGCTAAGCCTGAACTAAACATGATCCCGGTTTAGAGCAGCGGAGAGTTTAGCACACCATTAACATCTGAAGCGCGGAGCTGCTAATGGCCTTCATGTTAGCGCTTTGATTACTGGCACTCCTTCTAAAAGACATTTAGACTCACTTTATTGCATTTTGTTTCCAGAGTGTTACAGCTTTCAGTGAATGAGCTTCAGCTGCGCGGTGAAAATGAACATTTCCATTTCTGAGGTGCAGCAGTGATCAGAATATAAACACTGTAGGAGAGAAGATGGATGGATGATGGATGGATGGATGGAGGATGGATGGATGATGGATGGATGGATGGATGGATGATGGATGGATGGATGATGGATGGATGGATGATGGATGGATGGATGAT